GGATGCTGTTGATACACCGTTGATTTTGTCAGAAAAATCATTGATTTCAAGAGTTTTCCCCACATTTCAGGAAACTTTCGAAAATGTGTACCTGGCAAAAAATGTTTTGTTTTTTTTTAAGGGGAAGAAGGACATTTAAGCAAAACATATTGATTAAAAAATCGTTTATATTCATAATTTAGCAAATTCCTTCCTTTATTCTGAGGTGACATGCAATGTACCCACAATTAGAGATATTGATCATAAAAGTTCAAAAGAATACATGTATTATACCGCTGTATAAAATGCAGAGTAAAATTTCCTATAATTTAAGAAATGAATGTAATATTTTTCCTTTGATTGATGTATGAAAGAAATATTTGGATGGAAAACTTTATCAATGCGCCTAGAGCATTAAAGAAAAAGTTTTCCGTCCAAATTTTTTTTCATGCATAGATCAAAAAAAAAAATAATACATTCATTTCTTATCATTTAATTATGATATTAAATAGATAAAATGAAACTTTCTTTCCCTTTTCTTTTTAATTTATAAAAACAATACGCACGAATACATCACAACAACATTAACGTTGCTGAAATTCAAAATGGCTCAAACGAAGAAACGATTTCAAATATTGTCGTGTCATTAACAACATTCTCCGTTATCATTTACAGTTCGTTAACACAAAAAAAACTTAATTACCTTTAGTGTTATCCTAATTGGTATATTTTCCCCGGTAAGTTATCTAAGTTCGTAAATGGAAAGGGAAGCAACTCAAATATCCCAACAGTTCTAACATTAGATCAGAGAAATTTTCGATTTAATTTGCACAATTTTTTATCGGAATTTCTAACCGAACATATAAATACGTATCACAACCTGTCAGTGCTTCAAATCCTGAAAGAGTCTGCTGCCGACTGTTTAAGATTTTATAAAAGAATTCCGTCCTCATTCATGCAGTGTCGTTTTTCCGGATCATTCGTTTCCCAAGATTTACCCGATTAACGTTTTTTCTCCGTTGTTCATACCAGTTATCTCAAAGTCAAACATTTGACAAAAGTATGTCGATTTCTTTCCTTCTTTTTCCCCAAAAGTGCATTGTTGTTATGCAGACGATTTTATTTGTTTAGCAAAGGAGGGTAATTCAAAAAGAAACGAAAGTAGAAAATAAGTCAGGAACGTAACGGACAGGTTTTGAAATTCAGGAAAATATCTATTAAAGTAAACGTATTTAATTATACCTTCAAAAAGGTACCTGGAAGCGGGAAATATATATGTACAGACAGCCAAAGTAGTTCCGACTGCTTCGTGCAAACGAACTCTAAATTTTATTGGATTTTTTTTAACAAATCAGACTCAGTTATTTCATAGAAATTGAATGATACATATAACAATGTCATGCCATCGAGAAGTCGATTTTCAAATACTTTATGTATTTTGATTGATGATAAATAGATGCACGTCAAAAGATTTGCATGGAAAAAGATATTTTAAGTTTCCTCTTATTGCCATGTGGATTACATAATTATAATTCGAACTTTGTGTTACTTAACAACTGAAGATAAATGCCAGTTATTCTCATTACCGACTATATTTTTAAAAATGTTTTCAAACAACTGGCAAAACAATGAAAAATGACAAAATTAAAAAAACAACCACCAAGAAAACCATTTATTAATTATTATCTATTAATTCCGCAATCACAATTTCTCTTAAATCTGCAAAGTAGAAAATTGCGCGGAATTTTTTAGACTGTCACTTTATTCCTCGCATCTATAATCAGTACGATTGGACAAATTTCCGCGGAAAATGTGTGACTGCTTATATAGCATAAATTAATACCAAGCGGAAAAAATTACAAAAACAGTATTTTATTAGCTTTAGTAAGGTCTTAAGATTGACCAATATATCTCAACTTCACAAACACTAAGGAAATCAGTTGGTCCGTCTTTTGATAAAATAGAAATAATAACTTCATTCCCTCTGGTTTCCCTCTCACACAGAACCAGGATACGGTCTCCATTGGCGGCCGGTCCCTGGTAAAAACCACACGAAACATTACGTCCATTGTCTATGACATCTACTCGAACCTCATGTAGTCGTTCCCCTGTAAAAAAGTATAATTTTAAGTAAACACAATTATTGAATAAAATTTTGCATTCTTTTAAATATCTTTTAGAAACAAATTTGAAAACTGCTCACCCGTAAAATAAAACTTAAATTAAAAGATGAATCTTAGACAAACACGCTTATAATTTATTTATTTCTTACAATGAGTGAAATGGACATGAGCAACATGGAGATCTTCCATGGTTAATTTTCTTTAAAATGGAAACCTTGCATTTCACTTACACGTTATAATCATAAATATTTTTGTACTTCAACATTAAAGTATTTCTTGCCACAGCAGTCTTGTCGATTGTAAATCAAAACTCTTTCCATGGTGCTTGTTTTGCTAAGACTGACTTTCAGCCATGGATTTGTCTGATTTTTCGTGCAAGCTAAGTTCACATCATTGTCTCGGCCTGTTACACATTCTGCTATTCCACACTCTACTGCATATGAAGCATGAAAGATGGCGTATTCAATTGCACCGTACTCTGAACTTAGCTGTCATTGCCAGTTTTTGTTAAATTAAAAACAGTAACATTAGTTAAAGAAATAATATACATACATATTCAGTTATTCAAAGAATACGTCTTAAGTATCTGCTTAATAATCATTTTGAACAAAGATGAATTTTCCATAAAATATGAAGGGAAAAATTATCATACATACACAATCTGTGTTTTAAGTGATATCAGATACATATAGATTATGCCCATGGAAGCTTGAACAAGTTTTAAACAATGTTGAAAGCAAACTCAAGCAAATATTTTATCCTTGAAAATGTCACCAGAATGAAATTATGCTCTCCTTTTATTTTTGAGCGTGTACATTTACTAGTTTGTTTTAGAAAAGTCCGTTTAGCACATTGTTGCATGTTTGATTAAAATATCATCTTATATTGATAAGCATACATCCCCCAATACGTTTACCTAAAAAGTATCTAATGAATTATTCACTTTGGTCCTAGAAGAGACTGTCCAAAAAAAAATTACAATGTCGGAATTTATTAACAAAGTACTATTTAAATACAGTGTTGCGTCTTAGAGGGTATCTGAATACAAATACCCGTATAGAACATTTTCCACCCCATGTACTTTGCGCTCAAAAGTGTATAAAATATATTGCAAATGCAAATGAGTTCAATGGACTTTTGTGGGTTTATTAAAACCCAATTGATGAAAATATATTTATATTAGTGCATTCATCTGTGAGAATCTATTTTTTTCCAATCAGGTCTGTACATGTGTACATAAATACATGTATGTAACTAATGTTGCTGCTCTACATGCATTTGATTTGGGTTGTTGTACCCTATATATACTTTGATATTATATGATAAGTGTAAAGCCTTTAGTATATACTTGACATTTAGTTAATTTAGCAACATGTACAATTTGTTTTTATATTTATTCCTTGCATACATGTTAACACATAAAGACTTTCCTTATCACTAAATATAGATCGTGATTTGATTAACGTTTAATTTGTTGAGTTGCCTCATATGGATAAATGTTTTACACATTAATCATTATACAATTAATTACGCGGCCGAGGTCAGGGCAGGTCATCGAGTGGGCCAGGTCGAGGGTCCTTATTTCACCATGTTGAACTCACAAGGGGTAATTAATTGTTTTATTATACCGATATATATTGAAAAGTATGAAATTCTAACCGTTATCAATTCGATCTTTCTTTGATCGGGATCGGGATTCGCTACAGACCGGATAGTGAAGTTGTTTACATTGACGTCTGCAAGTCGTGTAAGTTTCTGCATCATGATTTACTGATTAAAACAATATTTGGTTGATAGCTACATCAGGCGCATATGCAGGAATTGAAGATAGAGGGGGCGCCAAAAATAGGCAAGGGGTCTGGGGGCCGCCTTGAGGCCCAGTGGGTCCAGGGGAAAGCCCTGATCGGGGCCCAGGGGGCAAAGCCCCCGGAAGCTCCTGGGTTTTAGAGATTTTAAAGGGTAGAAATGAGGTGTACCAAGTAGACATATTGACATTTTCTAGACGAAACTTTGATTTAAGTTAACTTTGACAATTTTAGAGGGGGGGGGGGGGGGCCCCCCTTAAATCCGCCACTGGACATACATTGTTATAGCTAACGATTACTTTTCCTCTAAACAGTCAAAATCTAACACAGAATTCAACTCTTTTAAGAACCGCCTTTACATTCTATTGAACTGAATATTGTAACGATATATTGAAACGATATATTCATAATATTGTAACGATAAAAATTTACCGTATTCTGTATGGTAATGCAAAACAGACCATGCACAATTTTAAAAAAATGGTTTTTTTTTCCGAATATTTATTATTTTATGCATTAACTTTACTCAAAAACGAATTTTTGATTAAGCGGTCATTTTTAGCGGTCATTAAAAATAATGACCGGGTCATTATATCCCACGTGTAATGATTCCTAGGTCAGTATTGCTGTAAACACTACCATTTGGAGTCATTGTTGTGTCTTAAAGTTTTCTTACCAGCCAATCAAATTCGAGTATTACATGTATCAATAGAGGTATAATAAAATTTAATAAGGACCTGGCTGTTATTTATAAATATTCATAATTTTGGTGATATTTTTCAGAACAAGTTTAATTTTTGATCTTCTAATAAAATATGAATAACAATGCGATAATATGCCCTTCATATGACCGAAATGAAGTTTAATAGCTCCTGAGGCCATAAACACCTGGCAGTGCATTTTCTCCGATGATTCAAAACGTTAACCTTGTTCAACTTTTCTTAATTCTGTCTTAAGGTCTGATGACATGTTGCTCTGATATCTATGTCTCTTTGTGATGTACAACAAATTAATTTTGATTATCATTATCTTGAAAACTCTAAACTGTTAAATTCCACAATGTCAACCTTAGATAAGGACGAAATCAGAAAATGACAAATAAATACATTTGCTAAAGAACTTGTTCCATCGCCATGGTCTTTTCAACAAGCACATGTACTCGTATATAATTATAGTAGCATCTCTTAAAAGTTTTAATCCAGAACACATTAACAGATAAAACCAAATAAAAGGACATTATTCCGAACTGATAATATTTTTAATTTTGTTTTTCCCTCTCATATAATGCTTTGAATAAAACTTACCTTTTGACAATATATAGAGGTAGCCAAACATTATTTCTTTTATTTTGTATATAACTTATTCTTTCAAGTATTATATATAAAGTAGAACAGTTACTTTATAAATAAGAACAATTCTATCAACTTATATCATATCTTAAAAAAAGGTGTAGCTGCTCTAAAACGTAAAAAAATGGATCAGGAAACTAACTGAAATAAAAAAAAGAAATTAGAGCAGTATAGCATACATGGTCACTTCAAGCAAGCCTTAAAGCAGAAAATAAACGGAGAGTATTTTTGTAGTATTTTTTATCTCTTCATCTTTACTTCACTATTAATAAGTAACTTGATAACAGATACCAGGCCCTTTGTCCAGGTTTGAAAAAAAATACCTATCATCTAGGGGAAAATATATGTAACTTGAAGCTGAATTTGGTAATGTACCAGTATATACATTGTTAGGGTTTGAACCTGACTGCGGACAACCATTTATAATGATATCTTACTTGAGAACCACAAGTGATATAATCATACATGTATGAGGACAACTAATTGAATGTTTAATCAAATCAAAAAAGTACAGAAGGCAATATTTTTTATTCCCTGTACAAAGTTTTAGAAGAGATCCATCTCAATCTTGTAATCTGTTTGCATTTGTATCATTCTTATAATCTTTTCATCAATTTAATACTGTATAAAAGGTTCTTGACCCTTTAATGTTTATAAAAAGGTATATAACCATCATCAAAATTGACAAAGACATGAAAAATGTTATTCCAAAAACCAGTAAGTTTCTTTTCTTATTTGTGTTCCAATAATGGATATTAGTGCTATTTTGACACCCATGTCGATTTTCTTCTACGACGTCGACAACTGAAAATAAATGGAGAATTAAAAGTATATAAAAATCGTATAGTTTTAATACGTTAATTATTATACATATATATTGTACTCAAATTATCATGTCCAAGTGATATGTATTATAAAAACGCTTTTCTTATTGAAATATTTTAAAATCAAAATACAGAAATACAGAAGTTGTGTATCTTATCTAGTATCTACAGTATATCTTCATAATATATTGCCGTATGCAGACTTCCCTTCTAATACAAAATTGTTTTTTTAAACAAGTAAAATCCAGCCCACTTAAGATGAATAACTTTATCGCAGTCAATCAATAATCAATATCTATATTACAAATATTCTTAGCTATATACTTGTAGTTGAAGACAAGATTGTATTCGTTGATATCTTGGTTGCTAATTGGGAGGCTGGTTCAAATTTTGGCGATCCAACTGCATGAAAGACAATTCAGAAAGACAATTCTTTGAGTTTGGAAAAAAATACAGAAGGTTTTGCCAATAGAATTTCATAGTGTCAATGCTATGAAATACCGTTAAAAATATTTTTTTTTCTGCTCTTATTCTTCAGATGATCAAGTTTTACCTTCACATCCCGTTGAAGAATTGCAAAATTTTTCTTCACAAGTGCAGAATTCCTGACATAAATATCCATATGAAGGATAGCGACATGGAAGTTCACAATAGGAACCAGTGAATCCAAGGTCGCAATCTAAAGGTAGGGAAGTCAAGATAATTTTTGAATGCCTTTTTTTTCAAAAATACTTACAAAAGTATGTTGATTTTTTCATTAAACAATATAAGAAATTATTATAAAGTCTATTTATAGTCCTTATATAATCTATACCAGCGCAAACAATTCAAGACACTACATATTCACTGCATTTGAGGCCGTATTCACCAAAGGGTCAGTGCATTTGCAGCGGAATTGTGACGTCATAATCAATCGTTGCAATGGCAGCAGTAAGCTATAGTATCTTAGCAGAGATAATGTTCGACAGACCTATTGTAGGATTATTTTTCAACATTTGGACGTCTTACACATTGGGAAACTCGGAAAGGAAAACATGGACTTTACAAACTGTAATCTGGACATGTTTTTTTTTCAACGGCAGAAAATCGCAAATGAATATGGTGTCGTCATGCAGGATTCAATGTATAAAATCAATTATGGACTCTTTTGGTATTGGAATACGGTTTGCTATTTACGAGAAAAAATATCAATATTGACCTCCATTTCGCCTCGGTCAATATTGATATTTTTTTGGTGAATTGCAAACCATATTCAACACAAAAAGAGTCCATATTTTATAATATTATTAATCAATATAAGAATATATATACCCTCAGATAACATTCTACAGCCATGTTCAGGATTGCAATCACTTTGAGAACAATTGCAAATTTGTCGACATTTTTTCCCAAATTTTGGATAAGAGCATCTCGAAGTACAATTTCTTCCAAAATATCCACTCATACACGCTAAAATAATTTGTGTTATTTCTTTAGACGTGATATTTGTTCCACAATAATAATGACTTTTTAATCAAAAGGAATATTCAGTCAATATTTTGATCCACATTTAAAAAAAGATACATAAACTATCAACTGAGTTTAAAATAAGAAAGACAAATTATTATTATAGTTATATTACTTGAAGATGAAAAGACTAAATGAATAATATTAAAAAAAGTGCTGAATAAAGAAATTCAGGACTTAAAGATAAAGTCAGTGATGAAAGCATACGTATACAGCTATCACGTCCATGATCCCATATAAAACCAGAGCAACATTCACTAAAAAATAAAACAAAATCATCAGAACATCTGTTTAATATTCAAGTTATTCAAATTGGTTTTTATAACATTCTTTTAAATTTACAATTATCAAACATAAAATCACAAAAAAAATTAAAATATACAAGTTTTCTTATTTTAATCAATAAATCAATACATGTCCAGTCATACAGATACTGCTTGAATTTCAATAAGTCGTTTAATGTACTTTTTTTTAGATATGCATTTCCAGTAAACCTATTTTTTCAAATAATAAAATCTATAATTTGAACAATTAATATTTATATGCACAAGTATAATGATTAAAACAATAATTTACATTTTAGTTTCATTCAAATGAATATAACTGTAGGAAAAGGAAAACTTATTATACATACAGACATATGGTTACATTTACCTTTCGAATGAAGTTATTTTAGATTTACTCTAGCTTTAAAATGCTTGACGCCTTCTTAAAGGAGACGAGATATATTTTCAAAATACTTCTTTTTTCAAATATTGCAATTTAGATACTTACTTTCCACACCACGTTGCTCTGGTATAGATGAACAAAGATACTATTGTCAAAAACACCTGAATATTTCCACAAAAAATATTTAATATCTTTGTAGACATTGTTTCACTGTTCGCAATCCATGTACATGTATATTTAATACAATGATAATCAGTATGGTTAATTCAGATGATCTCCACTCCGCACTTTTCTTCAAGGAAGGTGCAGATAAGAGCATAAAAATCAAAATCCATTTTTCAAGAGTGAGCGGATTTTGCCCAAATCTAAAGAGTGAGTTAGTACTCAAAATATAGAACGATCAGGACGTAAAAAATCAAATATCCGCTTTAACAACACTTAGAAGTAATTGAAAGGATGCTGTTGATCACACCTGTTGATATTGTCAGAAAACGCCTTGGTTTAAAATTTTCCCCCTTTTCATGAAGCTTCAGAAACTGTGAAACTGTGTACACGACAAAAAAAAATGTTTATTTTTATTTAGGGGAAGAAGGACATTTAGGCAAATGTATAGCATTTTAAAAAATATTTATATTCATAATTTACAAAATCCTTCCTTTATTCTGAGTGGTCATACCTAATTTTAGAGATTTTAATCATAAAAGATACATATAGATAATATGCCGCAGTATTTAATGCAGAGTAAAATTTCCTATAATAACGACGTCATGCCACAGAGGAGTCGATTTTCAAATACTTTATGTATTTTGATTTACAATCAATAAATGCACATCAAACGATTTGCTTGGAAAAAAGATATTTTAAGTTGCCTTTTATTGACATGTGCATTACACATAATTCGAACTTTGTGTTAATAGTCACGGTCAATGCCAGTAATTCTCATTACCAGCTGTATTTTCAACAATGTTTTTGAAGAATTGGCAAAGAAAAAAATAGCAAAAATAAAACAAACAACCACCAATTTCTTAATAAAAAATTGTCAGGAAAAAATATCAAAAGCACTTGAAAGCTATGATATCATTTAATGGCACTTTCATCAACAACGGCATCATTATGTCAGAAATTATCAAGTTCTTCAGTAAATGTTTGGATTTTCAACACATTTTTGGTACAGTAGTGACATTCAACGTTATGCCATTAGCACTATTTATAAAAGCACATATCCTTCATTGTTGAATAACTTTTCTAGAAAGGATTTATGATATATACAATGACATTTAAAATCACTCAACCTAAATAATAGCGAAACCCCTTTTAAATACAGCTGTACGCTTCAATACTGAATGTAAGCAAATTCATCAAAAAGTATTGTATACAGTTACATAAAAAGACGTTTAAAGACATATTTTATCATCTTAAGTAAGGTCAGTGAATAATGATATTTTCCTAAGATTGACCATATATCTCTACTTCACAAACTTGAAGGAAGTCGGGTTGTCCATCTTTTGATAAAATAGAAATAATAACTTCACTCCCTCTCGTCTCCTTTTCACACAGAAACAGGATACGGTCTCCATTGGCGGCTGGTACGGGATAGAAACCACACGAAACATTATGTCCATTTTCGGTGACATCTACGCGTACATCATATAGTCTTTCTCCTGTAAAAAGAATGATAAAACAAACAGAATTTTAGAAGAGAAAGCATAAAATTTTGCACAAAAATAAAAAGGATCATGCATATGCATATTAAAGTTTTTTTCTCGTGTCATTCATACATAGCTTTGGTCTAAAAAGATTTTGAGTTTTTTTATGCATTCATCCAGCAATTTGCACATTTTGGCTACAATTCTCACATGATAGTAATAGCTTCAAGATAAAATATATAACTTCTCACGCCGACTATCTGAAATACATTGTCGTCAGTATTTAACTATTTCTTACCACAGCAGTCTTGCCTATTGTAAATCAAAACTCTATCCACAGTGCTAGTGTTGTTTCGATTGACTTTCAACCAGGGATTGGTCTGATTTTCAGTGCAAGCTAAGTTCCGATCAACTCCTGTCAAGCATTCTGTTATTCCATCTACTGCATATGATGCATTAAATATTCTACCATACACTGAACTTAAACTTGCCGTCATAGCCACTTTTTCTTAAATGAAAATCAGTGACATTAGTTAAAGAAATTAGAAACATGCATTGTCAGTAACTCAACTAACACTTCATAAGTATACATGTATCTGTTTAAAAATCAATTTGAACAAAGATGATTTTGAATGAATTTTCCATAAAATATGAACTCAGCTAAGTTGACCGATATGTAAAATTTGATTTTAGCACCGTTTTCATGTGTAATTCCCTTTTAATAAGTTGAAACAAAGTAACTGAAAACATGTAGAAAATGTAATATAACTATTTATAATGGATAGGGCTGGGCCGCACAGAGTTCCAGTTCTATCATATGTATCAGCTGTTTGTCACTTGACTAGTATAAAAATAGAATTGTTAAGCTGAATGCAGGAAATGAGGATAGTGCAAGGGCATAAATTTGTTTTTTTAATTTAAAAAAACAGACACATTAAAAGATGTTTACTTTGTTTACCCAAAAACGCTGGAAGCTAGTATGTGATGTTTGGGAAGTACTGACATTTATGCCCTACGATAGCTAAAAAATTCCCTTCGTTTAAATTCTGTTAAAAAGATAAAATATTTATACATACTGTTAACTGCAGACCAGGATCCGCTCCCAGCACTTTTCAAAATATGCACTTTGTAAGCAATAGATATTCCATATTTCAGCAAAAACAAAATAGTCTATGCCCTTGCATCTTTGATGTAAATCACAAATACTCTTATCATTCTAGCGATATTCTCTTCATTCCTTGTCCCTGTGCATATACATTATATTTGATAAATTATCGATTTTTTTTTTTTAGTTTTTATGATCAGGTAAAAAATATTGCGATGATTTCATATTCATTCAAGCATTTTTGTATTAAACCAGTGAATCTAGTCCTCTGGGTTATTTGTTCTGCATCATTTTATGGCTTGTGACGTCAGTTTTGATGAGCTATGTCCTCTACTGCTCGACTCTATTGATATCAAGTATTGTAATTTTATAAAATTTTACACATAATTAATAAAATAAATGAATTCAAGTTGTTATTTGCTAACAATCATGTTGTAAATTTGATGTTTGTGGCTCTTCAAATTTTTCATGAGGTTTCAATTAAACTTCTTATACGGTCCACCTCGAATTTTAACCTTGATCTTTCTTAACATAGCTTAGAATGTAAAAACTATGATACATACATAATCTGTGTATTTTAAGTGATTTTAGATAAATTGTGCCTTTGTATATATGTGCACGTGAATTCTTGAACAAGCTTCAGACAATGTTGGAAGTAAACTCAAGTAAATATAGTATCATTTTTACCCTTGAAAATGTCACCAGAATAAAACTAGATGCTGTCATGAGACAGTAATACCCGCACTATGGTGTTTGCCTCTAAATATACACTCATTCATATTGGACTTTCCAAGGAAGAAGTCAAAATAATTCTATAATTATCACCGTACATGTATTCGTCAAATTGAACATAAAATTTTCAGATGACCATATCAACTCTGAGCCTCACATATGTATTTTAAAATACTTAATTCATAACCAGTCTGAAATAACAGAATTTAATTAATGATTGAAGTAAATTACTTAATTAGATTCAAATAAATAATTTTCCCATAATTTGGAACTTTTTAAATTTACTTTCTCAACGACATAAAATATTATTTTAGTACAAAGCGTTTTTGATGAATTTATCAAAATGTGCAAACTGATTTTAGTATTTGGTCGGGAAAAAAACCCATTGAAAATACAACCCGATTAATTTGTAAATGCCTACCCCCCCCCCCCCCCCCACACACACACACACACTCTCTCTCTCCCTCACATTTTTTAAAAAACATAGTTTAGTTTATTATGATAGTTTGAAATTTGTTCTTGTACTAAACAGTTTTATTTTCTACATTCACATTGGGTTTGCGTCACCCATTATCATATTTATAGATATCACCTCTCGGCACACCTCGGCCAATTCATACTGGCAACGGAATCAGCAAAGGTTTGTCGAATGAGATTATTTAGCACATGTATGCTGATGATGCAGTGTGGTCAGTTAAAATCATTTGTGTTTTAATTGGATTATATGGATTATATTTCATGAATTCGTTGTCACGACCTATGACATTCGGTAAGTACAAGATTTAGTATAGATTGCATAAAAATAAATAAATGCAAATGGTTAGGTTGAAGTTCAAAAAGGGTCAACATGGTCAAAGATCATCGCATGCCACAGTCGACAAATTTCACATTGTCAAGTTATCTCCCGTTGCGGACATTCAGTATATAACAGACGCAGATCCAGAAATTTTTTTTTTCAGAAAGGGGGGGGGGGTGTCACACCTCAGTCAAAAAAATCAGCCCAAGATTTCCTGAGATGGAAATAAAAAATAATAATAAAAACAATGATGGTGGAGTCCCTGTTTTGTAAGGGGGAGGATGTCCAAAGTCATTTTTATTC